TCCCATCCAGAAAAAAACCAATGGATAAAATTCATGCAAGAGGAGATAGAATCTCTACAGAAAAATGGCACGTACAAGCTGGTTGAACTTCCAAAGGGAAAAAGACCACTCAAATGCAAATGGGTCTTTAAACTCAAGAAAGATGAAAATGGCAAGCTGGTCAGATACAAAGATCGATTGGTAGTAAAAGGCTTCGAGCAGAAGAAAGGTATTGATTTTGGCAAAATTTTCTCACCCGTTGTCAAAAATGACTTCTATTCTAACAATCTTGAGCTTAGCAGCTAGCCTAGATCTTAAAGTGGAGCAGTTGGACGTGAAAATTGCATTTCTTCACGGAGATTTGGAAGAGAAGATCTATATGGAGCAGCCAGAAGGATTTGAAGTAGCTGAAAGGAAACACATGGTGTGCAAACTGAATAACAGTTTTTATGGGTTGAAGCAAGCACCAAGGCAGTGGTACAAGAAGTTTGACTCATTCATGAAAAGCCAAACTTACACAAAGACATATTCTTATCCATGTGTATACTTCAAAAGATTTTCTAAAAATAACTTTATTATATTGTTGTTATATGTGGATGATATGTTAATTGTAGGAAAAGACAAAGGGTTGATCGCAAAGTTTAAGGGAGATCTGTCCAAGTCATTTGATATGAAGGATTTGGGCCCAGCACAACAAATTTTAGGTATGAAGATAGTTCGAGAGCGAACAAGCAGAAAGTTGTGGCTGTCTCAGGAGAAGTACATTGAACGTATACTGGAACGCTTCAACATGAAGAATGCTAAGCCAGTCAGCACACCTCTTGCTAGTCATCTAAAGTTGAGCAAGAAGATATGTCCTACAACAGTGGAGGAGAAAGGGAACATGGCTAGAGTTCCTTATTCTTCAGTGATCGGAAGCTTGATGTATGCAATGGTATGCACCCGACCTGATATTGCTCATGCAGTTGGTGTTGTTAGCAGATTCCTTGAAAATCCTGGAAAGGAACATTGGGAAGCAGTAAAGTGGATACTCAGGTACCTGAGAGGTACCATGGGAGATTGTTTGTGCTTTGAAGGATCTGATCCAATCTTGAAGGGCTATACAGATGTTGATATGGCAGGTGACATTGATAATAGAAAATTCACTACTGGATATTTGTTTACATTTTCAGGGGGAGCTATATCATGGCAGTCAAGGTTGCAGAAGTGTGTCGCACTCTCTACAACTAAAGCAGAGTATATTGCTGCTACTGAAGCTGGCAAGGAGATGATATGGTTGAAACGGTTCCTTCAAGAACTTGGCTTGCATCAAAAAGAGTATGTCGTCTATTGTGACAGTCAAGTGCAATAGACCTTAGCAAGAACTCCATGTACCATGCAAGGACCAAACATATAGACGTGAGATATCACTGAATTCGAGAAATGATAGAGAATGAATCTCTAAAAGTCTTGAAGATTTCTATAAGTGAGAATCCCGCAGATATGCTGACCAAGGTGGTACCAAGAGACAAGTTCGAATTGTGCAAAGAACTTGTCGGCATGAACTCTATATGAAAAACTGGAGTTACCTCCTTCAGGTGCATGGGACTGGAGGGGGAGATTTGATGGGTCCATCCCATGTGTAAGGAAGACATCTTCCTTTTGGATTTAAATTGTCAAGCCAACTAAAGGAATAGTAAGGAAGATTTTATGGCAAATATTTCTTTGGTTTCACATTGAATATTTGACTCTTGCCAAACCCATGAGATCATTGATGACATTAATGAAGCAATGCTAAACACTATAAATAGGTGTCTTGCTCTCATTGTAATACACACCAACAAAGAGAAAGAGTGAGGTTTCACAGACAATGTATAAGAAAATAGTCTGTGAGAAAAATAGAGAGTAAGCGATATTGTAGTAAGGTGAGAATATCAAAAGAGGGTTATTTCTTTTGAGAGTTGTAGTGGTCTTTAGAGTATTTTACTCGGACCTACAAAGTGTAAAATTCCTTGCTATAGTGATATCAGTTGCTCCTCTCAGGGCCGTGGTTTTTTCCTTATTCAAAAGGGTTTTTCACGTAAAAATCTTGGTGTCATTGTCACTCTTTTATTCTTGTTAATTACCGTATTTCGGTGCTACGTTATTATTCCGCTTTTATTACTGTGAATATTATTTCTGTTGGGGGTTTGTTCCCAACATATTTCTCCCTTTTGACGATGTAAACTTTCCTTAAAGCTTTTAAATGATAATTTACGATGACATGATCAACTGATTATGCTAAAGATTTTGTACTTTACCTCTTTACTTGAGCTGGTATTTCTTCTAGGAAGTATTCTATGTACGATTTCAATTTATCTTTCTCCTTTGAATTATATTTGAATGCTAAATTAGTTTGTCGAATCATTTTACTTGTTACCTAATTTGCATCAATTACTTGATTTTTCGCTTCTTTCTTGACAATTATGGTTTAAGGTTAGTAGTATATGGAGATGTCAAGGAATCAATCATTCCATTGCTTGATTTTGTGTCATTTTACTTATATAAATGATCTATCACATCCATCCTTTAGTTTGCTTTCACCATATTCATGTATCTTATTGGGACACGCGGGTTTTCCATGAATATGCTTGAAACTCATTCCGTAATCGATCAAATTTTATCTTAGATGTTTTAGGTGTAGGTTCTTTTATGTGCAATATTTTTTGTCTGATTGTTAACAAGCAACAACAATATACCCAGTGTATTTCTTTTGGATTGTTCATTTCTGTTAATAATTTTTTGTTGGTGACCCGTTAATTATTTTATTATCTAATTATTCATTTGCACATCTTGATGGGACTTATTTTATTATGATGATGCATTCAGGCAATCAGGCCACTTTACAAATTTTGTTTATATGTATTGCAAGATGGTTTGATGCTTGAAGATTTGTTATAAGCTTGCATGTTGTAATTGATATTACAAAACGATTGATCAAGAGTTCATTTAGCGAGTGTACTCATGCTTGCTATTGTGCTATCAGTCACGATCGTCTAGCTTTAAAATTGTAACAAATATTACGAAGAAAATAACTTTAAACGTGAACAAAACAAAACAAAACAAAACAAAACAAAAACAAAAAAAGGATGTGCAAGATAAGTCCTTTAAATATGAAGATGATAATCGTACTTTGATACTGTAATAGCCATAAATATGATAGCTAGTCATTCATTTCATAGTAACTGGAACATAGATTATTTTGGTATATCCTCTAAAAACAACAGCGAGTGCATACGCCTTTATCGCAAATGCAACAATTATTGCATTGTGGCAATCCAGCGCAAACTGAAATTCACGAAACAAAAGTATTGTTATATATAAAAAAAAAATAAAGAAAATAAAAAAAGTTCATCATAAAAGGGTACGAACCTACCAGAAGCAAGCAAAATCTACAGATTTTGAATCAAGAATATGCATTTGTAATTATGATTATAAAATAATTATACTCATAAGAGAGACTCGAATCTATTAGTGTCAAATTGTAATTTCAAAAGGACAAAAAACTTATTTTGAAATCCCAACATCAAAAGTCAATTAAACATTCCAAATAGGAATGTGGTTTTAAATTGATTAGTGTCTCTGAAGATGTATCTACTCTTAAGTTATGTAAATTTTTAGTGTAAAATTACAAATATATTCTCAAACGACTTTAGGAATAAAAAATCCTAAAATAAATATAATTTTTGTTAAGACTAGATGTACCTTGAAGGTCTAGACGAGTGCTACGGCTCGCAGTAGAAAATTCTACTGATATTGTTGGTAATGTTCCTTCTGGTGCGTATGATAACTCTGATACATATGATGGTTCTGGTGCAGATGACAGTTCTGGGGTGCCTTGAGTTAATGGCGAAAAAAGAACAAACATGAAAATAAATATACATCCCATAATATTGGTTGATTTTGTCATCTTAAACAGCTACACTTGTTATGCCCGTAAATACTTTTCCTTTTTTTCCTTTTTTCCTTTCTATTGGAGTGCTTATAGATATTCGAGAACCCCTCCTCTTTATAGTAAAGATGGAACATGTTCTTCAAGTTACTAATGTTGATTTTTAAGTAAGTAGTTAATTAATAATAGTGTCCATTCTAGGATATCCAATCCAATTATAAAAAATAATAGTATGCAAGTATGTAATCCCTCTTAAAATCTAGCAAATTTGAATATGAAATTGTTATATGTATAAAGTAATATTCATTTCCTTTTGGGGGGATTTGGTTGAGATTTTCCAATTGTCACTTTATGTAGTTACAAAAAAGTAATCGGTAGTTGAATAATGCTTTTTACTCTACTTGATTTTTGCTTATTCTTATTTTTCCCTCTAGATTGATATGCAAAGGCAAATGTCAACTTAATTGACCAGATGACCACTAATACTACTGATTAGCCAATATTTGTTTTTTGCAGATTAGTGGATTGAACCAGATACAAAAATTGGATTTTTAGTCACACAAAAAAAGTTAATTTGGACAAATTACATTAGGACAAAAAAAATTTAGTGAACAAAGAAATATGTAAATCTATGAATGTTTATATGTATGCCTGTAATGTATGTAATGAAATGAATGTATTTATTTATTTTTGCATTCTTCAACTTTGATTATCCACATATTAACAGTTTTGAAAATACCCCAAACCTCCCCAGTAGTATATAATATATGAAAATTTGGCCAAGAAAATAAGAAAAAAATTAAAAAGTTTTGTATGTTGATAAAAAGGGTTCTTAAAAGAGTAGTGCATACATTCATTATTGTTGAATTTATAGTTATGAATTGTTAGCAAGTTCATCACAGGCTCTATCTCACAAGTGACAACTAGCAATGATCTAAGCGATTCTACACCTGTGCAAACTCTTGAAACCGATTCACTATTCGTGTTGTGGGTCTTAAGCCGAACCTATGAATTAACTAGCAACATTAAACAGTACAAATAACTAGTTCTTTCTGAACACACATTTGCTTTATGTGTAAAGTTACTTCATTTCCTAAGGGGTGACAAAATAAATATAGTAATTTTTCGGCAAAGGGGTGTCAAATTGACACCCCTTGCTTATAGGAGGCTCCGCCACTGCTTTGATACATGCACTCGACAATATATATGGTTTTATTTACCAAATGTGGCATGGAACACTAATACAATGTCACATTTATTAACAGTAAACGACACATCTTAAACTGTCTCACAAAGCTAGGTCGATCTGTAAACACGTTTTAACTTCTTGAATCATTTACACTCTGAATCACAATACTGCAGAATAGCATGCCAATACTTCTTGCACAGATTCTGTTTGAGCTGCAATTCCATTTGCTATTTGGTGCTGACTCCTTCCAAGCTATTCATGTGCAGGTGCTGTGATCTATCCAAAATGTCCAAAATGACTTCAATAGAAGATAGAATAAGAAGATATGCAGCAGATAACCTTCATGAGAAATATCTCTTCACTGGTTATGCAGCTGAAATTCTTCTCTGCTGGTGGTTCCACTAACCATTACTCTATTATAACGACAATTACAAACGAATCATATCATGTGTTACAGTGAAAAAGAAGTCTACTTTGTAAAGCAATAACTGAATTTGTTCATATATCTGGATCACCAAATAAGCATGCTTTACAGAGCACAAGTCTTGATGATCCTTTGCGTCCAGGTCTTTTGCCATCTTCTCTGTATCCGCTGCTTAGATTCATAAAATTATGTGCACGTAATTAAAATATGCAGATAAACCACAAATTACTGTCCCAGCAGAAATGTAGCATCCATGGAAAAGGAGAAAAAAGAAGTTAACCCACTTCAGTTAATTGGAATAGAACTTCCAAATTTCAGCCAAATTCACCAGAAACAAAAGCCTAAAATTGTTATGGATATAAGCCTGGGAGGGGGAGCAGAAAGAGGCGGCTAGAGCATAAACTGAAATCAAAAGGGTCAAACTACTAGTGAAGAAACAACCTTGGTCTCCAATTTATTCAGATAGGCAATGCAGCTACAGCTACATCCTTGCGTCAACCTTTTTCAGTAGATCATAATTATCCAGTGATCATTCTGTCAAGATTAAAACCACTAGAACCAGTTCCCGCCTGAGTGACTAGAACCCCATCGCTTTGTATCGGTTGTTATACCACTGATTCCAGATCAGCCATAGAAACCGTTAAACCACTAGCATTTTCAGATTCAGAGAACATGATTTCATCCGTCAATTCTCTCAATTTCGAATAAATTTCACGGCAACGAGGATGTGATAGATCCTCTGCATTGAAAGCATGTACCTCGTTTTGAAGTTCTATCCAACTCCAACCAGGTACCTTACTGACACTCCTTTCCCTCATCAGTCTCTTAATATTAGCTATTTTATCCCACTTCTTAATTTGTCGGTACATGTCTGAGAGCAAAACATAAGTGCTATGCTCTCCCGGCTCCAATTCTAGCAAACGGCTAGCCACCTCACTTGCATATTCAGTATCACCAGATGACCGACAGACACCGAGTAGAGTTCTCAAAACCATCGCATCCGGATCAAATGGCATCCCTTTAACCAGCTCCTTTGCCTCCTCAAGACGTCCAGCCCGCCCAAGTAGATCAATTGCACAAGCATAGTGTTCCATTCTTGGAACAATTCCAAAATCAGCCTCCATAGATTTGAAAAAATGGCGACCTTCTTCAACGAGACCAATGTGACTACATGCAGTCAAGACTGCCACAAAAGTTATATGGTCTAGCTTCACTTCACTTTGTTTCATTAGGAAGAAGAGGTCAAGAACAAGTTTACCTTGTCCATGTTGTGCATAAGCAAACATGATCGAGTTCCAAGATATTGAACTCTCTTTAGGAGAAACTTCAAAGGACTTCCAAGCATCTTCAATGATTCCACAATTGGAATACATAAGTATCAAAGCACTGCTAACATACTTATATGACTCGGAGCTCAGTTTTAGTGCCAAGGCATGAATTTGTTGACCGAATTGAAGAGTAGCCAAATCTGAGCAAGACCTAAGGGTGGCGGAAAAGGAATACTCATCCATCTCAAGGTGTTCCACCCTCATTTTCGAAAAAACTTTGAAAGCAATTTCACTCCAACCCTTTTGTGACAGTCCGGTCAAAATGGAATTCCAAGAAACAGAATCCTTTACATCCAGGTTTCCAAATACTGACAGTGCATCATCCATATAGTTTGTGCATGATTTGGCATACATGGAAATCAATGCATTCGAGATTATAGTTACATTTTCCAGTCCTCTCTTAATAATCAAAGCATGCAAACACTTTCCTTGACTGTTATATCTATCCTCGAAACAACCACTTATTATACTAGTATAAGTATAAGAATCCATTTCCAGCCCAAGCCTTTCCATGTCCAAGAATAGTTCAAATGCCTGCTTCTCCTCATCATGTTCTAAATAAGCTGCTAGCATTGAATTCCACGTTACCAAATCTCTGCAACTAATAGCACAGTCAAAAACAATTTGTGCACTTTCAATACTCCTACACTGGGAATATGCAGCGATTAGAGCATTGACCACTTTGACTTGACTACCTAAACCAAGCTTTTCAACTTTTGCATGAACCTGCATTGTCAACTTGTAAAACCTTTCCTCATTAAGCAATGTTAAAAGCGGAGAGAACGTGCCATCATCAAGTTGCATACCCTCTCGTTCCATACCTCTCAACAACCAAAAACAATATTCTATATCACCCTTCCCTGCATACCCTGCTATTATAGCATTCCATGAGACATAATTACGTTCAGGCATGCGTTGGAACACTTTGTTTGCATCGTCAACTTTGCCACACTTAGCGTACATGTCCAACAGAGCACTGGCAGAATAAACATTCCCCACATAGCCCATTTTAACCACATCACAATGTACCTGTTGGCCAAAGGACAAGAAGCCATTAGAAGCAATACCCTTTAGTATGCTTCCAAAAGTATAGTCATTTAAGCAAAAGCCATGTTCTTTCATCAGATTAAGGAACAGCCAAGCACCATGAAACTTCCCAGAATTGACGTATCCAGAAACCATGATGTTCCAAGACGCAGTATCTTTGTGGGGAATTTCGTCGAACAGCTTGAGAGCAGTACCAATCTCCCTGCATTTTGAGTACCCGTTTAAGATGTTAGTGGCAGTGTATGTATCACTGATGCTTGCTAATTTGATGGCTCGACAATGGGCTGCCGCAAGTTTTGACAAGGATGCCGCTGATTCAGCGAGTGAGTGCAATAGCCTCATTCATGAGTAAACTAGTCCAGATGTTTGGGAGTCAGCAATTAACCTTCTCTAAGCTTTGTTATTTTTATTGAGCATCTTTAAAAAAGGAAAAAAAAAAACATGAAAAAAGATGTACACAGTGAACCTATTGATAACTTCTAATGAGTTGCTTTTCTCTTTTTGCTAGAGGTTTATGTCGAGGGTATTCTTGGAAATTCATGTTTATGTGCTTTAAAGCTAAAAATAGCATGAGCTAGCCAATTTTCGGACTGGTAATTCAAAAATAGTCATCCTTTGCAAAGTCGTTGAAAAGTAGCCATTATTTTGCTGCAACACAGACCGGTCCAGCATAATAGACTGGAGATTGGTGTACTTGTGTATGAACATCCAGCATATTATGCTGGAACTCCAACACGCGGAAAGTTCCAGCATAATATACTGGAGATTGGAGCACCTGCGTATGAACTTCAGTATATTATGCTGGAACTCCAACACGCGGAAAGTTCCAGCATAATATACTGGAGATTGGAGCACCTGCGTATGAACTTCAGTATATTATGCTGGAATATTTTTGGGATTTTAAACAGTATTTTCGTTCAAATTTATCTTTACATAAAAAATGGCTAAATTTCTATTATTTTTAAAATTCTGACTATTTTTCAATTAGCACTTGTAAATCTCGCTAATTTTTGAATTTTTTTCCGCTTTAAAGGTGTTGTAAATGATAGCTTCATGTAAGAATTATTGCCTTCTTGGACAAAAAACTTGGATAACCTCTACTGAACGTGTAGGCCCACTTCAATTTCATTGCCACGTGCTCCATTTGCAGCATCTTCAAATTTTCGTTTTGGCCATGTAGGCCCCACATATTTTCAGTTGCTCTCCATTTGTTTTACTGGGTTGGTAATTGTACCTTTTTATTTTTCTATGTATGTTACTCTTATATCGATACGAGCAGTATCTTATATCTGGCCTTTATATCTCGATTAGTAGGCTTCTCATATTAGAATGTGCTTTGTTTTCTTTTTCTTCTTGCCAGCGACGTCTTGTGTGGCTTTACAAAATCTTCCTTCTTTTCCTTTTTTGTGCTTTACCATTTCCATTCGCTTTACAAAATCTTCCTTCTTTTCCTTTTTTGTGCTTTACCATTTCCATTCATATATGATATGAAATAACCTTATACTATTGAGATTATCACAATGAAAAAGAGACGAAGCTCGCACGGGAGCTTCCATTGAGATTCTCGAAAGTTCTGAGAGAGGAAAATATCTGAGAGTATAGAGAGAGAGTGAAATGAATTGTAAAACGGAACTCTACTTTTTCTTATTATTGCATTGTGTATATATATACACGTATGATAGTTATGGTATGACTACAAAATACAACTAACTATACAACTAACTACATATAACTATATGCTGACTCAGCACATTATAAATGATAGAAATAGTAATAATTAACTACATCTCAATACCCCCCTCCCCCCAAGTTGGATGGGAGGGCCTCACAGCCAACTTGCCAAGAACAGCTGAATGCTTAACTCTTGTGAGGGCTTTGGTAAGAATGTCAGCTAATTGATCAGTAGTGGCTACATGGTGGAGAGAGATCAGGCCCTCCTAGAGTTTGTTCCTTACAAAGTGACGTCTACTTCAATATGCTTTGTCCGTTCATGGAACAAAGGATTGTGAGCAATGTGGATAGCACATTTGCTGTCACAGAAGACAGCAATGGGACTGGACTGTGGGATAGTAAACTCTTCAAAAAACTTGCTTAGCCGCACCAGTTCCCCAATAACTTTTTTGAGGAACCTGTATTCAGCTTCAGCTGAGGACAGTGAGATAGTCTCTTGTTTCTTGGACTTCTAGCTGATGGGATTATCTCCCACTAGAATAATATAACCAATGACAGATCTCCTAGAGTCAGGGCAGGCTGCCCATTCAGAGTCATAGCAGGCAGAGATGGAGCAACCATTAGAGAAAAATATCCCAAGTGTGGGATCCTTCTTGAGGTATCTGAGAAGATAGAACGCTGCAGTTAAGTGTGTATCTCTAGGTGCCTGTATGAACTGGCTAAGGAGTTGCACATTATAGGCTATATCCAACCTGGTGTTAGTTAGGAAGTTTAGTTTGCCCACTAGTTTTTTGTAGTATGTGGGATCTGGGAGAAGAGTGCCTTCATCAGCCTTCAGTTTCAGAGTAGGATCAAGAGGGGAAGAAAAATTGTTATATGCAAAGCAACCATACTCCTTCAACAAATCCAAGGTAAACTTCCTTTGAGAGATGATAACACCATCTGGCTTGTAAAGAACCTCCAAACCCAAGAAATAGTGAAGTCTCCCTAAGTCCTTGATTCTGAACTGCTTGTCAAGAAATGTCTTTAAGTTGGCTATCTCCACTAAATCAGTACCAGTGATGATAACATCATCAACATACACCGCTACAAAGATAGTGGAGGATGAAGTTTTCTTGGAGAAGAGTGAATAGTCATTTTTCAGAATGTTTGTACCCCATTGACGACAGGGCTTCAGTCAGCTTGAAATACCACTGTCTGTTGGTTTGTTTCGGCTCATAAAAAGATTTGTTTAACTTGCAGACCATCTTGTGAGGGCCAGATTGATCAATCAGAAGACTTGGTAGCACCTCCATATACACATCTTCATATAAGTCACCATGAAGGAATGCATTGTTTACATCAAGTTGAAATATATCCCACCCTTTCTTCACAACAACAGTAACTAAAACTCTAATTGTTGTCATCTTGACAATAGGGAAAAAGGTTTCTGTATAGTCAACCTCTGCCTGTTGAGAATACCTTGTAATGACCCGATTGATCATTTTAAGCTATAGCAGGTCGTTCAGTGGTTTGAGACCTTGAGTAGCTTCACTTCATATTTTATAACTTGTATGTGTGGTCGGAATTGAATTTCGGGAGGTTCGGAGTTGATTCGGATAGAAAATTCTCAATTCTGAAGCTTTAAGTTGGAGATCATAGTTTGACTTTTGAGTAAACGACCTCGGAATCATGATTTGAAGGTTCCAATAGGTTCGTATGATGATTTCGGACTTGGGCGTATGTTGGGGTTGAGTATCGGGTGGTCCGGGAGCATTTCAGCGCTTATTGTGGAAAGTTGACAATTCGAAGGTTTTAGAATTTCTTAATATTTGGTTTGAAGTGTATTTTGGTGTTATCGATGTCTGTTTGAATGTCTGAGCCTTGTAATAGGTTCGTATCGTGATTTATGACTTGTACATAAAGTTTGGCGTCATTCCGGATTGTTTAAGTGTAATTCGGACGCGTTCGTCGAAGTTTGAATGTTTGAAAGTTGAAAGGAGGATTTGATCGTTGATTCATGGTTTTGGTGTTATTTAATGTGATTTGAGGCCTCGAGCAGGTTCGTGTTATGTTTTGGGTCTGGTTTGTGTAATTGGACGGGGTCCCGGGGGCCTCGGGTGTGTTTCTGATATGTTTGGGTTGTGTCGCGCTCTTATTTGATGTTTCGGCATCATTTTCTTGGGTATAAAGGATACTATATTGAGCAAACGACCTTTGATTTGTGATTTGATTGAATCATTAGATCTGTATCGTAATTATGGAGTCATAGCAATAAGAATCATCGAATTCCAATGTTATATGAGAGAGTTACGCCAATTCTTGTGTCGGGAAAGATTGATGGTGTTGCTGGTGCTCAGGTATCGCAATTGCGAAGATTTTAGATTTCTGTCTCGGTTCTCAATTGCGAAGCCTGTAGATTTTTGCCTTGGTAAGCAATTGTGAAGTCTGTAGATTTTTGCCTTGGTTCGCAATTGCGAACATTTGTCCGCAATTGCGAGGGTCCACAAATGTGAACCCTGTGTGGCAAATGCGACATCTGCACCTCGTAAAAGGGCTGGGAGACGAGATTTTGGAGACATTCTCTCATTTTTGGAACCCTAGGCTCGGTAGGAGGCAATTTTGAAGAGGGGTTTTCATCTACAATCTTTGGGTAAGTAATTTTGTTCAATTTCCAACTATTTTATATGGATTAAATACATATTTTAACATGGAATTGGTGAAAATTGTTTGATTTTTGAAGAAAAACCTAAAAATCATATTTCTAGATTTTGACCACGAAATTGGACATGGAATTTGGAATAAAGTATATATTTGGGTTCGTGATGTTATGGGTAAAGTTTATCTTCAAACATTTTCGGAATCCGGGCACTTGGGCTTGAGGGTTGACTTTATTGACTTTTCGAGCGAAGTTGGAAATTGTTATAAATTGATTAATTATAAGTATTGGAGTATATTTTGATTGATTTGCACATTGTTTGACTAGCTTCGGATCGTTTGTATTTAAGTCGAGGTGTTAAAGAGGCATTGGAACTGGTTATGGAACTTCTAAGTCGGGGTGTTAAAGAGGCATTGGAACTGGTTATGGAACTTCTAAGTCGAGGTGTTAAAGAGGCATTGGAACTGGTTATGGAACTTCGGAGTGAGATAAGTTTCCTCTATAACCATGTGAGGGAGAATTTACCCCGTAGGTGTTATATTCTTATGTGCTACATGTTGTGGGAGCTATGCACGTATGAGGTGACGAGTGTCTGTGCGTATGCTAGGATTCCTGATTTGTCCGGGTAGACTTAGGTTTACGCCATACTTTAATTGTACTATTTGAGTTATCCTTTCCTATTTAATTCCTTTATTTTGCGTTACGACTTGATACTAGGCTTGCGTAGAGTGATAGACTCACTATTGTAAGAGATTTGACGAGCTGCTTGATTAGCCACGGAATAATTGTGCTTCCCTTACGAATTTCTCTCGCGTTGTGTGTTTTCATTGAAAAGCTTCTTTAAATTTCATAACTCACACGTATATTCGTGAGTGGGGCCAGTTAAAGCTTCGTATTCTTATGGGATTGGGCCGTTCGGCAGAGTTATGTACCACTCTTATGGGATCGGGTCGTTCGCCTCGACAGGATTATATACCACACTCCTATGGGATCGGTTCGTTCACCTCGGCAGGATTATGTACCACACTCTTATGGGATCAGGACGTTCGCCTCGACAGTATCATATTCTTATGGGATCGGGCCGTTCGCCTCGGCAGTATCATATTTTTATGAGATCGGGTCGTTCGCCTCGGCAGCATCATATTCTAATGGGATTGGGTCGTTCACCTCGGCATTTATATAAATACTCTTATGGTATTGGGTCGTTTTCCTCGGCAGCTTCATGAAACACGCTTATGGGATCGAGTCGTTCGCCTCGACAGCTTCATGGAACACTCTTATGCGATCGGGCCGATCGCCTCGGCAGCGTCGTGCGTAATATTTGACAAGAAGCCATCGTATCCGTGAGTTTTCTTGATTTGAGTTATGACGACCCATCTGGTGGGAACTATTTTACATATATATTCCGGTTGAGGAGGTGACCGATAATCGAGAGCTTGAGTTTACTATTTAGAGGAGGATTGTACCACGTACCTATATTTGTTTATACTGTTTATTTACCTTGCCTCATATTTGTTTACTTCCTATTGTATTTAATTTATTGAACCACTAATAAGTGTCGATGTCGACCTCTCGTCACTACTTCTCCGGGGTAAGGCTAGATACTTACTGGGTACGCGTTGATTTACGTACTCATGCTACACTTGCTGCACTTATTGTGCATGTATATATATGTCTGGTGGTCTTTGGGGTGCAAAGACGCGGCTATTGCGGGGACTTCACGGTGAGCTACATTCCATGTTACGGCTCGCAGCATACGGAGTCTCCATCTTAATTAGTTACATTATCCTGTCTATTTTGTACTCCAGACAGATGTTGTATAATTATTGTACCTTCTAATAGATACTCATGCACTTGTGACACCGGGGTTTGGGGGTTCCTAGTGGATGTTCATTATTGTAGTTCATGTTATTATTATTATTTTACCTTGTAATTTATATTTTATACGGGATTTGGTAAAGTAAATCACAGGTTTCTACGAGTACCAGATTTTACTCTATTTATTTAATTGGAGTTATGATTTTAAAAATAATGAAATGAGTAATTAGGTTGATAATTCATGTTGGCTTGCCTGACGGCGACGTTGGACGCCATCACGACCTATAGTGAATTTTGGGTCGTGACAGCTTGGTATCAGAGCGTTAGGTTCACTTAGGTCTCAAGAGTCATGAGCAAGTCTAGTAGAGTCTTGCAGATCGGTATAGAGACGTCTGTACTTATCTTCGAGAGGCTACAGGGCTATTAGGAGAACTTCCCTTCTTGATTCCTCATCGTGCGATTTGATTCCAATGAAACTTATGCCTTCATTTCCTTCCTAGTCATTCTTATACGGTGTGGAGTGCTTGTTATCAATTGGGCACCGACGAGTTGTTAAGATGCTACAGATGCGACGCAGTATGCCTTTCCCTGTGAATGCGGGCAGACCATTAGTGTCGCCTTATAGAGGAGTATTCTGTCATTTCAGCCCAGTGTTGATGGTTTGAGGGAGATGATCTCTGAGGTGGTTTCTATGCTTAGGAAATTTTGAATGTGGCAAGAAGGACTTGATAACATATTGTTGGACCTTCGGGTGATGTTAATAAATGAAGGGATTCTTACGGATGGCGGATCAGTATGGACCCAGTAATTGATTTCATGATGGATGTAATTATAGCAATGACGTTGGAGAAGGTCGATACAAGGCTACACAGGTGGGCTATCTCCGGTGAGCAGGTTAGTAGTTGCGTGGTTTTGATGAGGTTCCTACGAAGAATTCTACTTTTTGCCTAACACGGGATACATGTACTACGATGTGAGCTTGGATCGCTTGGAGAAGATGGTATGAGTGTTAGGAGGTCGAGTGTGCAATTATGGCTAATAATTCGGGATGTGTTATGATTAGTCCAACAAGAACTTATGAGAAATTTGGCTGAGCAATGGTGTGGGACCATGGTAACAGGGAAGAAGAATAAGTCTTTGAAGGGTCGAGATTTAAGTGATTGTAGCGTAAAGCTAAGTGGGATAGCCCACGGTCTACGATTGGCCACGTGGTTGTGTGCCTGTACGATTTCTGGTTATCGGTGCAATGGCAGATTAGTTATGACCAAAAGGTATTTTGGATAAGGAAATTTGACGTATATGAGTTGCATTCGCCTTATTGATTCATGTGTAGGTATTGGGGATGGCTCAAGATTTATGCTTCCTGTGGAGGTAATGGGAAAGGAAAAGAATTCATCCGGTTGTTTCCTTGAAAGTGTATGTGTGCTAGTAGAGCACTAGAGTTTTGTTATATATTCGGGACTAGGTCAGAGTGGGTGACTCTCAATAATAGTTCTAATGGGTGCAAGAATTAAAGTGCGGTGTTTAAAGATTTTGGGTTCGTTATATGGTTGAGGACTGGGTTTTTCAGCAGACTGCGGAGAATACTTGGGGAATTTCTATGTTATCATCGGGTCTATGGTGTAGTGTTAGAGAAATGGGAGAAAGAGCTTCGGTTCGCAGGGGGTCTTTCAGAATGGGTGTATTGGTTGGGAATACTATTGAGTGCATAAGGAGGGTATGAGATTGCTGATGGGTATTGAGATGATGTGATCTTGTGATTTGGGTCACTCGAGATGAGTGTTATTTGAGGCTTATTATGTGTTTGAATGGAGCTATTATTACTTCGAAGGCAAGTCAAGAGTAAATTGGAAGAAGTTGGGTTAGTTAACAATGGTTTAAATCAGCATGGTTGTGGAAATGATTAGTTCTTTCGGTGTGTTAAGGATATACAGGTGATTCGTGGTTGTACGTGCGGGCTTGACAACCACCGTAATTGGATTGATTTGTAAGTAGTTGATTATGATGGCCTTGTTATATGTAAATGAA